CCCCAAAACCCCAAAACCCCAAAACCCCTCCAGAATAAGCTTTCAGAATGTATTGATAAATTAAAACAGCAATTATTTAGTTTTTGATTAGTAAATTATTAATGAAAGCATAAAAATATTCATAATAAGTTGAATGCAAATAAGTCTCTAAAATTCTAGCAACTAATGCAATAATTGAATCATCTATATCTCCTTACAATACAATTAAGATAAGACTTGATAATCCTTAAGTATTTATTGCAAAACCGCAGGCATTTTTTCACAATCTTAATCTTAATTCCTTCTAAAAAGACCTCCATCGCAGAAAAACCTTGCTTAATGTTATTTCCTAAGAAAAGTAGGAATTAGAAAAGATGATTAATCTTAACAATTCTATCCTTGAAAGAAGATAATTACGATTGAAAAAGTAAACTTAAAAATTTAGATAAAAAATTCTTTATGCTATTATAAAGATCTAAAGATGGTATCGAGGATAGAGAGATCGTGACTTTTTTAAAAATGTAGTACTCAAGGACCGTGAAATGGAAAAACAAAGATTGACTAAGATGTTGAAGGATATGGAAGTCTTTGTAAATGATGTCTTTAATAAAAGTAATTTAAACTAACTTGTATCTGATAGAAGTGGACCTGAGTTCAATTATATATAAGATAACATTCTTAAAACTAAAGTAGCTCTTGAAAAAGAAAAATAAGAAGAGGAGTTGAAGAAAGGCAGGATTAAGCAAATATCAAGAGGTATTTTGAAATTGCAAATTGTAGAAAAGAAAATTAAAAATAGGAAGGCACTTGTATTTGGATTAAGAGCTTTTAGATGGAATACAAAGAGAGCTAGGAAAACAAAATCAGCTGTTTAGAACGAAGTTGATTATATTAGAAAGTATAAAGAATAACGGCGAAGAGGTAGGGAACTTATCGAATAATCAGAAGATCACATGAGTGAATTAGAGGAGGATGATTACTTTGATGATGATCTTTAGGATGGTGATGACATGTTTGGCTAACTTGGAAGGTATATGAGTACAAAGCCGTTAGATTTTAGATTAAACACATTCCATTCAAAATTATCAGATGTCAAAACTTAATTCTCTCTTATGAACTAAAGAATGTTGGAGAAAAAAAGAATGAGCTAAACGGGTAGACCTGCATAATTATAATCTCTTAAAATATAAAACATGTACTAAAGTGGGTTAACAAATGTACTATAAACCCCAATCGTTTAAAGTTATAAACTCAATCAAAGTATGTAATCATCCTTTAAGCACAATTCTTTTACTAAAAAGCCCTTATCAAGCAATACCGAACACAGAAGTAAAAATTCTTCTCAGATCAAATCTAAAATTATGAGCTCTATTGAAAAAGCCAAAAATTATCGTAAAAATACGGATACCCCGATAAATATATAAATAAACATTGAAAAATAAGTAAACATTTTACCAGTCATGAGAGAATTTGAAAAGCCTTTGGACATTAAAGCTAGTCAATGGAAAAAAGAGCTTGATGATTTTTTAGAGAGAAGAAGCAGCAAGGTCAGTCCTAATAAAGAAAATAGGCAAAACTATGATATTCAAAATAGAATATCTGAAATATTAAAATGAATAATAAAGTAAAAATATGATAATTTTTTAATGTACTTTGATTTTAATTTGAAGTCATGATAGGGGTTTTGGGGTTTTGGGGTTTTGGGGTTTTGGGG